CCTTTATGTACGTTATTTCTTTATATATAGGAATACGATTTGATTCTATATATAAATATTCAAAAAGTCTTGCGATTCTAGCATTTCTTACATACATAAAATTGACATGTTTTATAGAATAATGAATATTTATGAAGGATTCCATATGTCACTATATACTGCTGTTTCAGTATATTATGTACTTCAATGGCTTCCTTATTTCATACATAGTTGTAGTGTTATGTGAACTTGAAGTTACTTAAATTCTTATATCTATTTGGAATGTCATGAAAAATATTTTTAGTAACTTATGGTCATCCTTTATCATCATCATCATCAGCTCACTATACGTCCCCACCGAGGGGCTCGTAGCCTACCCTAAGTTAAGGGTGATTAGGCCGTACTCAACCACGCTGGCCAAGTGCTGGTTGGTTGACTTCACACATATCTTTGAACTTCTTCTCAGATATGTGCAGGTTGCATCACGATGTTTTCCTTAACCTAAAGAATGTTAATCAGAAATTGAAAACACATTGGTACATGGCGGGATTCGAACCCAGGACCTGCAGATTGCAAGTCAAGTGCTTGACCACTGAGCCACCGACGCTCGCAACCTTTATAAGTATATGTAATTTATTGTATAGTTTGGATTACAACAACAACATAACTCACGCCCTTTACCCATAGGGGTAGGCAAAGACCACGGACTACTTAGGTCGGTCCTGACATACATTGCTTCTTCTACATTCATACATCTACATATCTATACTGCTCTTAGTACTGCCCTTCTTGAGTATTTCATCGACCTGAAAGGTAAGTCTTGGTATGGTCTAAACCTTTTATTTGCGAAATGAAATCAATTAATTTATATATTCACTATTTAACATCTTTCGCGTACAAACATTACGGATCTAACTGTCATTCTTAATTTAAATATCGAACTTCAACGAAACTCAAACTTTAAATATCAAGACCGCTATAAAAATAATACGAATTACTGGCCACTGACAAATGACGATCGCGTCTTAGATCAAACAAATCGTTGATATTTAAAGTTTAATTAGTATAAGAAAATATTTAGCGGATACTACGGCCTCTGTCCCTTAGCGCGTCCCCTAAATGTACTTTATTCGATTTTAGATGCTAACCGACAAGCGTAACGAGTAAGGTCAACGACCCTTTAATTAAAGTAGTTTAACAATTGCTTGACAGAATAAGATAGGATCAACACATACAATATTACTTAGAAATGCCAAATTACGTTCTCTACAGGTCTTTGCTACTGGTAGATTGTAATTTAGATTATGTCCTTGACCTTGCGAGAAGATCCGGGTCCATTCAACACGGACCCCTCTGACCTGAGTGTAATTAGGGACGAAAAAATTAAGACAAAAAACAAGTTGATGTTATGTAAATTTAATTGTACATCCAATGAGTTTTTTACCCGACCTTAAAGATAGGCGCGTTTATTGAATCGATTAGACCTAATAAGGTACGTGATATTTGCTCGGGTGGCATCTTGAGAAGTATTTTTTAATGAATCTTGAATTCTGTTACAATTTTTTATCCACACGTAACTTACGGAGAAGGTTACAGTGTGTTAAAGAATTAATATCAATTAGAATATTAAGTATGACAAAGTCCCTGTAATACTTACGTTAAGAAACATATTTTTTTTATATCAAAAGGTGGCAAACGGGCGAGCGGCCACCTGAAATTGCTGAAATGGCGAAGTGACCGTTGCCCATAGACATACGCAATTGCATATGCGTTGCCTACCTTTAATCGACGGAGGAGAGAATGCACAGAAACAAAATATCTTCCATTTCCATGCATCCTCTCATCCGGAAAGTCCACTTCCACTTCCCATCCTTTCCTTATAAAGAAAAGGATGGAAAGGGAAAGACGACTAAATTAGGCCTCCGGGACGCACACTCATCAGACGAAACGCGGAATTGCTTCCACTTGACGCCTGTCTTCTGTGTGGTCATGGTATTTCACCGGGCGAGCCGGGCCGATTCGTACGAAGATGTTAAAGCGGGCTCTACCACTGTTAAAATCTAACTTAGAATTATAAAAATTGAACTTAAGTCAAAGCAAAACAACTTTTAAACTTACAAATTATTCTTTATACTGTTCGTGCTTAGACATTGATATATAAATAAGCTTAGTCAGTATCAACTTATAATATCTTAGTCGTAGCATTTCCAGGAATTAAAAAAAAATGTTTAACCAAATATAAATTTTACTTTCACTGCCATCTGTTGTGTTATTCTAGAACTAATTTTAAATAATATTTGCGATAATTTCTGTATTATGTGGATAGATGGCGCAAATAACAATAAATAATAAATGTACGAAAATTAGCTTTGTTGTTTGAAAAAACATTTCAACCATTTGCTAGTAAATGTTGTAGACGTATATTTTCTCAGTCTAGTAAATCCCAGTGAAATAAATAAAAAAATACCTTGTTATACGTATAAAGTATTCAGTACTAACATAGGTTCAGGTTTTTATCTTATTAAGAAGTCTGCTTTGTTCCGTTTGTTAGATGCTTTATTTTCCAATTTATATAGAGTTTTTTACCATGAGTCTTTTTTGCAGACTATACACGAGCATTTGTTATTTAATTTTGTCACGCTTTTTGAAACAACATGACAATTGCCCGTAATATTATATACCACATACGCTATGTATCAAACATGCTATGTTCAATATATAACAATTTACCCACTACTTTAATAAGTATTTATATACCAAGGAAGAAAACGAGTATGTATTTAAGATAAATAAAATACTTATGTTTGGTTACATTGTCTATTATTATCCTTAAAGTATTAAAGATTTAAAATAAATTATCAACATTAATAATCTGTTGGAATATTGAAAATAGAACGAACACAAAACAAAAGACATTTTTCAAGTATTTTCATATGTAATAAGTTTTTAGTATTAGGTTACATCAGAAATTGATGGTTATTTCTTACTAAAATTCTCACAGCCCGGATAGCTCAGTCGGTAGAGCATTGGACTTTTAATCCAAGGGTCCAGGGTTCAAGTCCCTGTTCGGGCGATCGAGCACTTTTTGTTTAGTTTGGCGTTTACTTTACATAATTAAGAATTTTATGATAACTTTTCCAGGATAAAAAGGTTCCAAGTTTAAAACAAGAAGTCATAAACAGAAAAAATTCTACGGAGACGTCTTTTGTTCTTTATTTTATATTTTTTAATATTATTATTTATATACGTCAGTCATTTCTATTTACCTTTAGGCTCCAAATTATGACAGATGAGGTCAAACTCGGCACGAGCGGGCAAAAGTGATTCGCATTGTCTTAGATAATTGCCGATCGTCCGTGATCTCTGCACTTGGGGTTACGATATTCATGACCACTAACCAAACTTGAGTTCATTTTCCCTCCTCCTCTCACCTGTATCTCCGTATTGTAAGTCATTTTAAGGGTTCCGTACTTCGAAAGGAATAGTAAAAACCTTATCGGATCACTTTGTTGTCCGTCCGTCTGTTTCTTGAGGCCATTTTTCTCAGCAACGCGTGGAGGTACCAAGCTCGAATTTATATCAAATACTTGGGTATACTGGACTTTATAGCTGTGAAAAAATCAAGCTTTTAAGCCAACGCAACCTACAGGTTTGTACGGAACACTCGTTGCGGGATTCAGATTCGTACTTGGCCGGTTTTTTCAGGTGGACAATAGTTGCAGTTCTACAATTTCGATGTTTCTGGATTTATCGTAACAACGTCGAGTGCAATATTTTAGTAAAAGATAATCAGATCAAACATCGCTATATTTTATTCAGACACGGCATATTACAACACTGAAACAATCAGATAGAACTAACAAAAGCCATCTTCGTTAACTGACAGATGAGATCTTCAAACAGATAGTCCCACTTTATTGCTAAATATTAAATGGAGATAAAAAAATCAAAACAGTATATGAAAAAAGGAATGCTTTCATAGCTTTTTCCAGAGCTTTTAAAGCGTGACATTTACATTTATTTATAAAAATACTAGCTGTGACCCGCGACTCCGTCCGCATGGATATATAAAAAACTTAATTAGTGTAGCCCACCCATCCATCCATCTACATCACATCCATCTAAACATTCGCATTTACAATATTAGTAAGAAAAAAAATGAATAAATAGTATCCTATGTCCGTCTCCTGGCTCTAAGCTACCTCCTTACCAATTTTCAGTCATATCGGTAGAGCCGTTCTTGAGTTGTAACTAAGACGACTTTCTTTTATATATAGATAAAATACACATTTATATATTTGTATTATAAATAATTTCAGTTTGTTTTAACAATTGGGAAAAAAAAGAAAAACAGTCGATAACAAAGACAATTAAATAATGCAGTTAATTTAGGAATACGTCTACACAACAAAAGGTTTTCTTGTTAACAGACTTCAATTTAGATTAAAAAGACGCGAAGTTGTCTACACGTTTTAAACATCTAAAAACATTCCGCCCGGACAGGGACTTGAACCCTGGACCCTTGGATTAAAAGCCCAATGCTCTACCGACTGAGCTATCCGGGCTATGAACTTCCACTATAAACTAGACTATCAGTTTAGGCTCAAAAACAGTACGTAAGGATGTTCTATGCTGTTGTGCTATTTTCTACAATTGGTCAGTTCTCGACAGCCCGGATAGCTCAGTCGGTAGAGCATTGGACTTTTAATCCAAGGGTCCAGGGTTCAAGTCCCTGTTCGGGCGGAATCGGTGTTTTGCTTTATATAAAGTTGTTAAAAGTCCAAATAACGGTTTTTAATTGATTTAAAAGGATGAAACAAGTGCTTAATCCTACTGTCACTTTCAAGTTTAATTAGTTATTGGGCTCTGGTATATTTAGCCACTGAAAACCCTTAGTGTAGATTTTTCACATTAAATCTACCTAAGGGCTATCAATTAAAAACTAAAAGCAGTAGTACACTACTATACGATAAATGGTGATGTTATAAAAAAGAAAAAGGAAAGAAATTAATATTTCAGGAATAAATATATTTATAGTTTCACGTAAAATCAAATCGTTTAATAATTGTATCCATTTCTAGAGTTGAAAGTGGGCTGGCGATTCCTGATGCCGAAGCCTCCGAGTTTTCCTGAAGACCTTTGCTCAGAAATAGGAGGTAGATAAGCCTTGTTTATTCCATTTTGCTGGTTAAATACCGACTCTTGGTTTTGTCTACCGAATCCAGGTTGGAAAGCATCAGTGTTGGTAGCGGAATTGACGACAATTGAATCTTCGTTATTGATGTTAGAAATTGGCAGGACCAAGTTGGGAGTTGCGTAGCCGTTGTCATTGCCGTATTTATTTTCATTGTAAGAGCCTGTAAATAAATATGAAGATAAATCTTTGAATGAAGTCAAGTTGTTGTGAAATGAATGGAGTGAAAATTAATTAACATTTTTTTTTTATTAAACACTTCTGAAAGTTAATTTTTGAATGCTTTAAAATGTTAATCTTACTAATATTATAAATTCGAATTTTGAAATGTACGGATAGATGTTTGTTCAAAGATATCTCCAGAACTACTAAATGGATCTCGCTGAAATTTGGCAAAAACATAATCTGGTACACATAGACCACTAATAAAGTTTGTTCTCAAATGATTTTGTATTCAGTTTCAGGCGCCGTTTCCTATGTAAAAAACCAATAAAGGTATATTACCGTCGTCATAGATTCCTGCAGCTTCATCGCGGGCGTTTTGTTCCAGAGCCAACTGGATCTCTTGCGGGATCGGGGGAGGGGTGGGGAGATGGTCACCTTCAGGCACGAAACCATTCTGACCAGCTGTGTATCTGGAATATAAATATTATTATAAAATACTACAACAGTATTTTAGGATTCAACATTTACGATCCTATAACAATATTTGAGACGTGGAATGAATAAAGTATTTTGTCCAAAGACGTAATGGAAGAACGAATAGACGGTAAAAAGCCGTCCTCTCGTTAAAAAAAAGTATTTGAGACGTTTGTTAATAAAAATAAATTGAGAACTTTGTTGATTATATAACACTAGCTGTCGCCCGCGACTCCGTCCGCGTGGATATATAAAAAAAACTTAATATATAGGTAAGTTAAATAAAAAGCAGTTCTTCAAGGCATAAATTCGAAAAAAAAAAGTATCCTATATCCGTCTCCCAGCTCTAAGCTACCTCCTCACCAATTTTCAGCCATATCAATAAAGCCAGTCTTGAGTTATAAATAGTGTAACTAACACGACTTTCTTTTATATCAAATAATTTGACAAACACGTTTGTTTAACTGGAATTTGATATTTTACAAGGCACTTTAGCATTGTGTATAAAAATTGCGATATGTAATTTCCTAATATTATAAATACATTGAACAAACATCGCGGTAAGAATTTATTGCAGTTCCGTAATGAACAGTAAGGATCAAATAATTTTGTTAACGATTGCTCTTTACTTTTATAAGAAGACTAGCGGACCTGACAGACGTTGTCCTGTCTACACGTCTTTAATTTGAAAATTTCAAACTTTTTTAAATAAGATAAAATTTAAAATTCGAAGATTATTTAAAATTTGACACTGCGATGGTAGCGCCGTCTGTCGGATCCAATGTAAAACATTCCAAAATCAAGAACTACTAATAAATTAAAAATTAATTAAAAAAAACATTGTCCAGCGGACAAAATTGTCAATCTAAACCATTCCCAGATCCCCCCTTGAACACGCAAAAAAAATTTCATCAAAATCGGTCCAGTCGTTTGAGAGAAGTTCAGTGACATGCACACTCACAGAAGAATTATATATATAAAGATTATTAATCCTATGCTACTTTTGATGCTAATTAAATACGCGTGAGCTTCTTTATATAACATCATATCGTACATATAATCTATTGGTACACGATTATAATACGTTATACTATATTACATAAGAATTACTCCTCATTCGCGCTAAGACTTATTTATATTAAAAAAACTTGACCTTTACAATTAAATTAATATCAACTAGAAATATTAGTAGAAGCTTAACGTGTAATAATCAAATAAATAAGAATCAAGACCATGTTATAATCCAAGCAAAAAATATTCAAAGATTCGAGCATGTTACATACATGTGAAAATTTTAAGTGGCCTTATCAAAATCTATACAATTTGAATAAGCTTAGAGAACAAATAAAGTTAAAAAGTTATGCTTTAAACTAAAATATAATTTTAACTAATATTAGGTTACTTAATTATAATAAAAGTTTTATAATTATAAGTATCTTACCTAACGCTGTAAACCTGTCCATCGTCACCAGTGTACGAGTACCCGCCCTGTGCTTCAACACCGTTCGTTGCTACTCCATTTTCTTCAGCAATTATACCATTTTCAGTTTCAAAAGCATAAGAATATCTTTCACCGTCGTTCTCATTGGCTTGACGAAGTATAGCTGCATTTCTTTCTAAAGCAGCTCTTGGTCGTTCAGCACGTGTATAACCAAAGGCATCGTTTTGACGACCATTGGCTGTGTTTCCAATAGTGTACTCATTGCCAAATTGAGCAATTGTATCTTTAGGAATGAATCCATCGTTTCCTTGTAAATTGTTGAATGACGTAGGGTTAGATAGAGGTGTTTGAAGGAAATCTCCAGATCCGCCAGATGTTTGGGCGTAATTTGGTGGGAGGTACGCTCTGTTGAGCTTCGCCGCGCTTGAATAAGCGATGAAAACAGCTAAGATGAACTGTAAATTAAACAAAATGTTAAAATATTAAATAACAATTTTCATTTATTATTTAAATCTTAAAAGAGTTTCTTAAGATAGTTTATAATTCTTTAACACATTAAAGGTTTAAAAATGAGTTGATTTATTTTGATGCAGCAAATATTATCAAACAACATTTTATAATTAAAATTTACCAATTTCATTGCGAATATTTTTTTTTCTCACAAGCTATCTCACGAATGTTGGATCAGTAAGTGATGCTATCAAAGATCTCTGTACAATATTTATAGTGATGGCCGCCCTGTATTATCGATCCACTTTAATATGGAAGATGTTCGCAGCCAAAAGTCGTGGTCTAGGATTGCTTAATCAATGCGTTACTATCACGGGCGTCTAATTGTTGCGGACGGTGTTATGCAAAAGTGAATTCAGATGACGGCTGAGATGCATAGTCTTAGACATTATTAGTTACAATCATTTCGAGCAAATGGCGCGTTTTCGTTACCAAGTTAAGTGTCAGATTGATTTGTGAGGGGACAAAAATGTTGACGTTTTAGTAAGGCTAGTGATGCGCCGATACACCGGCACAGTGTGGATTTTCTTCCTAACAATAGAAAGATATAGTGCCGATGATCTGTAGGTAAATAGGCAATTTGATGATGATGGTATCCAACTATATGCAGTTGTCATTTTAGTAAAAATAAATCCCATAATAAAGAAAACAAATTGCCCTTTTCCCAACTCACATGAAAATACATTTTACCAAACGTAAGGATTTTTTTTCTGAGACGGCGAACTACTAAAATGAATGATTAGTTTCCCGCGTTTACCAAGACGTTCATCATCATCATCATCAGCTCACTATACGTTCCCCACCGAGGGGCTCAGAGCCAAGACGACCAAGACGTAAGCATATTACATTCCAGAATTTTTTAACACCCTATAAAATTTGCTCTAAGTACCAACTAAATTTATAAAATTAGATTTGTTCTTGCATAGCATCATTCCGTCTATACAAAAAATATTTCAATAAGCTTATTAAATGGATGGGCAGTAGTCGGACCATATTTCATTCTCTTCTGACCTTGCTTAGAACTATTCCAATACTTTGGCCCTTGTTTTTAAAATAGATAAAGTGTCACGATCTCTGAATACTGATTAAAACCGCCCCAATTACTTTCAGGACATTAAAGAAACAGCTAAGATGGAAGTTTTCTAAAAGAGAAACTAAGTTGTAAACTACTTCTCTGTCTTCTAGTTGACGATGACACCGGACAAATTCTATGTTACTTTATGAAAATCTCAAACGAAAGTTTAATTAATTCAAAAGCTTGTAAACTGAATAACTCCCTTTTACTTTGAGGCGGATGCAATTTTTTTTAATTACAACAAAAACATCTTCCATACATATAATTAATTAATACAGAATTTTCTTACATTCTTAGCGAATTGATATAAAATTTAAAATATTTAATAATAATTTAAAAGTATATTATTCGATTAAAACTCGCTCTAATTGTATTTAAATTACTTTACAAGTAAAATAGTGTAATTAGTGAGATGATACAGATTTTTTTCTTCAAAGGTCAAAACAGATTGATATTGGTGATTACATCGCTAAATTGCTAAAATGGCCTACGGGGTACAGTTGAGGAAATCCGCGGTGCACTAACATGGTTCATGTACCGCGACAAACTTCGCTCCTTCTTAGAAATAACTAACTGGGTAGCAATTTTAATACCGCCAGTTTCCCCGACTGTACATATATATCGACCTCGAATGGTATGCAGGAATTAAATGCAATTTGTTTAATCACATAATATTTAACTTAAATATTCACGTGAGATAAAAGAAAAATTTAAACCATTAAAAATCATAACATGGACTGCTTCAATGATAGGGACAGATTAAATCGGTCTGTGCACAGCTGCCAGCATTTTTTTCGGCGACTACAAACCGCGGTTTGCGTATGGCTACCATTAACTACGCATGAAGCTTGAACTAGTTAACTACCAACAGCAGCAACCCGTGTATCTCAGCCCTTATAGTGTAAAGATTTTTTTATTCATAAATTATCTTAATGGTGCAAATCTGTTATAAAGAAGGTTTATTACTTTTTTATGTCACATGTGCGACGGTATTTCATATCAACTTCAGCAAAAGGACATTCATAAATCAACGCATCTTTTCCTACAAAATTCAACAATATAAAGACCAGAGAAGCTTCTTAAAGGTTATAGGAATTAAACAGTCTGGAAGAAAACACAAGCTACTAATTATTATTTTTAATTTCGTGAGGACAGAGTCGCGGGCGACAGCTAGTCAGTATAAATATAGCTCCGATACATCAAAGGTATCCTGGAATTCACCCACTGCATTAACTTTTCATAATCAGTTCGACCATCTCACGAATGTATTGTGCTGCCCACACAATATCAAACACCTCTTCTTTTACCAAATGTCACGGCCAAGAGTGTAATTGACATCAGTTTAAATGAGTCACACAATGATATCCATTAGTTAAATACACTATAGCATTGTGAGATGAAATGTATGCAATCGCATGGCCTTAATAGACCATCTTCTTAATTTAAGGTAAATTTAAATCATCACAAAGCTGTTGATCGGTTGAATACTGACAGTAAGTTTTCACTGTTGTGATACTAGTATCAAACAATATAAGCCTTATAATGCTTATAAAGAACAAAAATGTTATATAGGTTGTCCCAAAAGGTTACGTACATAGGAAGGGGGATGATAGGGGTGGTCACAAGGGTCACCAGAAAAATAAAATAAAAATTCCCCTTAATACCCAGTATTAAAAAAATTAAATGGCATTTTTTAAAAAACTTAAAAATTTTACACCTTCTGGGGTAATTTTAATTTTCTTTAAAATATTTGTTAGTTGTATTGTTTTTTTATTTCATATTGATAAAGGGTTATTGAAGATAACATAATAGCTTTTTTTCTTTCTATGTACGTAACCTTTTGGGACACCCTGTATTTGACGATAGTGACACTCACGTTTAGATTTAAGCCAGCTTTACTTACTTTAGTTTTACTAAAGGTATGTAACCGGCTCTAAATACGAGTACTAGTATAAAGCGCTTAGGTTACAAATCTTAGGGCGCAATTACAACAGTCGATAATTCGTCTGATATGCAGGGAGTCTTGCCGGACCAACGACTAATGAAAATGATGTAAATCAAACGTCGTGTGGGGACTCAGCTGACGAATATATTGCGCGGTAAGGTAAAGTAAGACTGACAAACGCATGTAGGTACTAACAAGTAAAATAAATGGGTTTCGCTTGCGTGAAAAGTGGGCCTAGCACGAATATTTGTGACAATGGTATCGTCATCGTCAATTATGTCAAAATTAGAATGAGATTTTTCGTGTGGTATACGCGATTAACTTTTCGATGTCGACACGATGACAAATGTCACAAACATTCGTACTAGGCTCACAGGAAATTTCTCGCAACACGCATGGGATACGATGGAATTGCGCCCTTAAGGTATCGCAGCTAAGCTGAGATTTGCATAGAAAATAAAATGCTATTTTTTGCACATACTTATGATAGAATAAATGAGCAAGGGTCTATTAAACCTCTAATAATATTAACCTCCACACGCAACCTCTATATAACAATAATCAGTCTGACATTTAAACGAAAAGTGCGTGATAAAATCAGCAATCACAACCCGAGTATTGCTAAGTTGACCCTAGATCTAGACATCTCAAACCTCGATTATTGTACGAATTTGGTACAAAAAAGTATCCTAAACAAATAAACTAATTTTGACCAATATGTTGTCTTTTGATGAGTTTGCTTCCCCTGTATGTATGTATGAATTTTTATTGATAAATACGATGTGAAATCATTGTACAAGTTAAAGTTAATTTACTGAACAAGTTCGTAAAGTTAATTTAAAAAAAATGTCTATAATTTATGGTCGAATTTTGACCAACAGGCAATTATTAGTATTCAAATTATTATTATATTTATTTAAATTCATAGATATAAATAAAATTTAACTGCAACCTTAACCATAACCATAACGTCAACCTTAACCATAACGTCAACCTTAACCATAACGTCAACCTTAACCATAACGTCATCTTAATTTAAACAATTAATAAAATTGAAGTTTCTCTATGTAAATTATACATTACTTATAACGAGAAATCAACTTGTAAAAGTTTTGCCTGTCTGTCTATCCGTAAGTCCGCGTTTACTCCGAAGCAATCTCCAAAACGGCAGGTTTGATTTTTGAGAAAAAAAAGCTAATGTATTGCGTAAAAATGATAGGATACTTTTTAAATTTTGCGCTGACAAAGTCGCGGGCGAACGCTAGTATGTACAATTAACATGTCATTATGGTCTCTTTATAATTAGTTTTTAATCAAAGTAGCAACATTAGGTGAAAAAATATGCAACATATGTGATGCGCAATTATGTATGTTGAAAGTAATTAAGATGTATATAAATTAAGACATAGCGCCTCAATTACACGATAGCGCCAATAACTCAATTATTTTTATGATGTACTAAACATAAAGTTAAGGGTTCGACACCAGAATTCCTCTAGTGACGTTAAACTTTAATTTTAAAATTGTACAGTTGGCGAAGAAGAAAAAAAAGTGAATGAAAATAAATCCCAGTCGAGGACATTTATTTGCTACCCACCTGTGATTTTTACCTTAAATTAGCTCGGAAAGTTGCCCAACATATGAAATTATAGATCTTGTTTCAGTTTTCTGTACAATATTCAATACATGGGAAGGTAATTAAATTCCTTGACTATAAACAATAAATGCGACATCACTTAAATATTGTACAAAACAAGTTTATGCGAAATATTAATACGATGAATAATGAGGTTAATGTACATAGTATGTCTTCATCGCTGTAAATATGCCACGTATGAGCAAGTTAGATGATGTATGGATGTGTTTGCAGGGATTATATATCAATAGTGTGTCTCAATTTTGTTGTTTTTGATTTATAAATCTGTACTAACTGTCTCCTGGGACTTTATCCGCGAATTAAAAGAAAAACTGAATTAGTCTATGTGTTTTCCCAGTTCATATTTTACAACTATGTCAAATTTCAGCGAGATTCATGCTGCAGTTCTGGAGATACCTTCTAAAAATATCCATCCATCCATCATTGGAGATATTCGCATTTATAATTATGAAATATGATATTTAATTTAAAAATAAAAAAGTTATTATTTCAGTATTGACTTTAAACTTTGTATTTTATATATATTTAACTAGCTGTCGCCCGCGACTCCGTCCCCGCGGAATTAAAAATAAAACCTAACAAGTAGCCTATGTATTCTTCCAGACTAATTTCTATATGTATGCCAATTTTTTTCTAAATCTATTCAGCCGTTCGGAAGATACCTTCAAACTAACTTCCATCCATCCATCCATCTAAACATTCGCATTTATAATATTATTCATGTATTTTTCATGAGTTTAAAGCATTGTAAAAGTACAATTATATTTGCTGTCACCTATTTATATGGATTACGTAATACAAATGTCTCATACAGGGATACGGATTCACAAAAAGGTCAAGACGATTTTAATAGCTTTTGTCCCACATAAGGGCCCCGACAATGCGCACGAAAAGTCAAGGCTTCGCCGATCCTGTGTCGGAACGAGCTTTGAACTTTTATATCGTAACTAAGTCATCCAGTCACAAGAATTTATCTGATTATGCAATAGATTAACTGCAGAACACAGAAGCTTTAATTGGTCCCAAAGAAGCCCTTAATGCAGGCATAATTAAATTTAGAACAAAAAACACGAAACTCTGGAGAAATTGAAAATCTATTTGTAATTTTTTTTATTCTACTAAAATAACTATATAACGGATCTATTTATGGCATTATTATTTAGTGAGTTTATGGATTTTTTTATTTATATATTAGTTATATTTGTCGGAACTCGTAAGGTCCATTTAAATATAAAGCTCAATTTATTTTTAACTATTATAAATCAGAGTGCATCGTCCTGTAGTTATGCAAAAACAATTGCGTCTCTGAGGTAAGCAGTGGTTTTCTGCACGATTCTCACACAACCATTGTGCTTTATCTGAATACACATGTCTGTTGGTACAAGTATTAGGTAGTTAATCATCTTTCCAGTTCAAATATCACATAGTATTAAGTTTCTTGCGAATATTATTTAAGGTATTGTAAGTAAATAATACTACAGTATACATTTGTCGACTTTTATTCAAAAATTATATTTTACAAACACACAGATGTTTTTTTCCTAAAAGTCAAACAATTTGCTTTTCACAATTCATTATAAGCTATGTACGTTTTTTTTTAATTTTTCTATTTGCCGATCCATTTCTTAATCTAAAATTGCACTACGATCCTTTGGCCTCAATATTTGTATCCTTCCTCGGGACTATAGCTGGGAGGCTGACGAGGACCACCGAATTCTTGACCTGCACCCTGGTTGGGTGATGGAGATCCTCCAAATCCAGGACGTTGAGGCTGGCTGCCTTGGCTAGGCTGAGACCCAGGCCTATTGTATTGATATCCGGAATCACTAGTTGAACCAAATGAGGATTGATTTCCACCAGGCCTGTATGAAGTTCCCTGTCCCTGTCCATTGCCCGATGAAGATGGTGTAGTCCCACCAGGTTGGTATTGTGAAAGTCTACCATTCACGGACCCCGAACCGGGCTGGTTGCCGCCGGGCCTGTTAGAACTAGGTTGGAAGCCTAACCCTTGCCCGAAAGATCCAGATGAACCCGATCCAGATTGTGTATTAGTTTGTCCAGGTCGATTACCACCAGAAGGAAAAGATCCCTGTGGACGATTATACTGGTAACCTGTCTCTTTTTGACCATTTCCAGAGCCCTGTTTGTTAAATTGATTGCCTTGACCTGATTGTCCTCGAGAACCTGATCCTATTCCAAAGCTACCTTGCCCTTGGGCTCCAGCAATCTGGCCAAAGGCACCTTGACCCTGTTGTCCAGCAGTCTGTCCAAAAGCACCTTGTACTTTCCCTCCAGCACTCTGTCCATAGTTACCTTGTCCTCGAGCTCCAGCACTTTGTCCTGACGTTCCCTGTCCTTGACTTATTTGTCCGAATACTCCCTGACCTCCAAAGCCTCCTTGTCCTTTGGTTCCAGCAGATTGTCCAAAAGCACCTTGTCCTGCTTGTCCTTGTGTACTAGCAGCCTGTCCAAAGCCGCTTTGACCCTGTGATCCTGCAGTCTGCCCAAAGCCTCCTTGTCCTTTCCCACCAACAGTCTGCCCAAAGCCTCCTTGTCCTTTTCCACCGGGGGACTGTCCAAAGCCACTCTGACCTTGAGATCCAGTAGTTTGTCCATATCCACCCTGACCTTGGGATCCAGTAATTTGTCCATATCCACCCTGACCTTGGGATCCAGTAGTTTGTCCATATCCACCCTGACCTTGGGATCCAGTAGTTTGTCCATAGCCAACCTGACCTTGGGATCCAGTAGTTTGTCCATATCCACCCTGACCTTGGGAGCCAGTAGTTTGTCCAAAGCCACCTTGTCCTCGCGTCCCAGCACTTTGTCCGAAGGCACCTTGTCCTTGCGTTCCAGAAGACTGACCAAAGCTACTTTGTCCACCAGTCTGTCCAAAAGTACCCTGTCCTTGAGAACCGGCTGTCTGTCCAAAAGCACCCTGGGTCTGTGAGCCTTGTCCAGGTTGACTACCAACAGAAGAGGAAGAACCTTGTGGACGATTATATTGATAGCCCGACTCTTTTTGGCCGTTTCTTTGTTGATTATATTGGTTAGCTAAACCACTTCCAATACCGCTTTGTCCTTGTGAATCCGTGGTCTGTGCAAAGACACCTTGTCCTGTCGTTCCGGAAGCTTGACCAAAGACACCTTGGCCTTGCGTTCCAGCACTCTGTCCAAAAGAACCCTGTCCTTGAGAGCCACTTGTCTGTCCAAAACCAGCTTGTCCTCGTGTTCCAGCGGTCTGCCCAAAAGCACCTTGCCCACCTTGCCCCTGCGCTCCAACATTCTGTCCATAGCCACCCTGTGCTTGTGATCCACCATTTTGTCCAAAGGTACCTTGTCCTTGTGAACCAGTGCCTTTTCCGAAGTTACCTTGACCCCGTGGGCCACTACCTTGCCCAAACACACCCTGTCCTTGTAAGCCAGAAGTCTGCCCAAAAGTACCTTGAGATGCAGTATTTTGACCAAAGGTCCCTTGCCCTTTCGTTCCAGTACCCTGTCCGAAGGTACTCTGTCCTTGAGAACCAGTCGTCAGTCCAAACACTCCTTGTCCCTTAGATCCAGTTTGACCAATAGTAGTTTGCCCTTGTGAACCACCGCCGTAAGTGTAACCTTTCTGATCAGTTTGTGTACGTTGTCCTTGGAAACCTTGACCTTGTACGGAGCCCGAAGTAGTTCCATAATTAAGTTCGTTTGAATCCTCTTCAGGTCGATAAGCACCTAAAGAGAAATAAAATTTGTTAGATATAACATAGATTTATAAATCTATATTAAAATTGCAAATGTTTGAAAATATTCCCTAAATATCAGCTAGTAATTTTTAAGTTAATATTTTAAATCATATATACGTTTTCTTATTCTATGGCAGACAAAATGCTTTAAGCAAAAATTTTAGTAATAAATTAGCAAATTATAACTTAATACCGGTACGTTAGTAATCCATTTATATTTTTTTTAGTTTAAAAATTTACCTTCTTGGGTCCCGGCAGCTGCGGCCCTGGCGTTTTCCTCGATAGACTTAAGAATTTCTTCAGGAATTGGAGGAGGTGTAGGCAAATGATCTCCTTGTGGTTGGAAACCATTTTCGTCAGCAGTGTAGGTCACACTTATTTTTTCACCCTCGTCTGACGTGTATGAGAATGCACCCTGTGCCTTGACACCATTCGTGGCTACACCAGATTCTTCGGCAGATATACCGTTAGAAGTTTCAAAACTGTACGAGTACCTTTCACCGTCGTTTTCATTTTCGTATCTTAGAATTTGGGCATTCCTTTCAGCTTCACTCTGAGCGCGTTGAGACTGGTATGCCTGCGTAAACGAGTTTGAACCTTGACCTCCTTGTCCGAAGGTGGCAGTTTGCTTAAATCCACTTTGTGCACTTTGAACTGATCCCGAACCAGAACCGAAAGTCTGTTTATTCGCTAATCCATTTTGTCCTGTTCCAGTTGGTGATTGACCAAATCCTGATGTGCCGCCGTTTTGGCCAAATAATTTTGATCCTATAGAGCCGGTACCTGGACGGAATCCATTTGATCCGAAGTCAGTACCAGAGGATTGAGATGTCTGACCGGGGCCAGCACCATTTTGTCCAAAACCAGGTAGTTTCGGAAGTGAATCGCCGCCCAACGGCCCGTTTGATGACCCAAACGGAACGTTCAGGTCTTTGGAGCTTCCACCGGATGATGCTGCATTTATTGGCGGCAAATAACTGCGGTCCAACTTGTCGGCGCAGCCATATGCTATGACTGAAATTACTAAAAGCTGAAACAAACATAAAACTGAAATTAGAAACGTTTAATTATATACTTTTTTTATTTGTAATAAAAATCTATATATAGATTATAATAATCCCAGTTTTTTTTCGATAATGCTGAATAATCTGCATTAATGCTGTATATTTTATATCAAAAATTTCTAAATTAACAAACAACAAATTATGGATTAATGAACTTGAATTTTGAAAAAAAAATGTGCTTATAAATAGTTGTTCATTTAATTAAATAAAATGTAATTACCAGCTTCATTTCAAGCTGTACACTTTGCAAGGGTCTAGCTCCGAATGTGATGGCAGACTGAAACCGATCCTATATTTATATCAAACAAAATTCGTTCACCTCACTTCGTTACCTAAAACCGTACTCACGGTCCTAACCTTTGACTGACTGAGTGAAGATTCACAAGTGCATTTCAATGTGTGCGTACATGTTGCAAAATTTCCCGATCGATATCCACTTTACACTAATTACTATGTATATATCTTTTATAGTCACACTCTATTATTTTTACGCTGATATTTTTATTGTAAACCTTTGTTTGAATAGCATTTTTATATAACTTTAAACTTTCGTCGTTGTTATTGTTCGTAAAAAAGCGATTCTTACCACGATTAAGATGTTTGAGCTCTCAATATTTCGGCACAGTTGCGTGTGCCATACCGAAAGAAGTATATTAGCATTTTTTATTTTTAAATAATATACTGTCTTATATTCAGCCAGTCTCTAATAAAATCAAGAAATAATCATGTTATATTAGCGAATTTAAGAAAATTGCTTAAAACCATCGAATATTCGTTAATTTTAAATAGATTAATTAATTGAAAAAGGAATTCATTTTTTTCAATCAAATTTATTACAATAAGCTTTGTACTTAATTTGAACAGTTTAAACCTTACTTTTTTTTGCACGACATTGAAGCCTAAGTACCTAATTACTAGTTTACGAGGTAAAAACCTTTGGTTTAACACCTAATAAAAATTTTAACAAATTGTTTTAATAACGACATAATATTTACAACATAATTTTTGAAGTTATTATAGAATTTAAAAAGGAAACTGAATGTTATTTTTAAAAGATTCCTTAAATTATATTTATTGCCTCTTATAAATTGTTTTAGTATTTTGGAGTCGTATAGCAACCTGGAGACGAAAATAATAAGGCGTCGTCAGATGCTCTGTTCAGGTATCTTAAAAAGTGAGGTTATGTTATGTCCCATTTCGCTGTCATTAATCCCCACATAAAGACTTGGGTCTACAAATTTAATAGTAACTAGATCATAGTCAATCATGTAGGCTCAGAGATATGGGATTAATCTTCAAGACAATTTCAAGGATTCAATTCAAGACTTGATCCTATCTGTCCATCTCACTTTCTCTCTCTCTCTCTCTCACTAATAACGATATTCTCTTGCTATAGTCATCCTACTAAATGCGAATGTTTAGATGGATGTTTGTTTAAAGGTATCTCCGGGACAGCCCAACGGATTTTGATGAAATTCGGCACACATATAGAATATAGTCTGGAAGAAGACATAGGTTACTTATAAGGGTTTATTTTAATCCATTCATCCATCTATTCACCCAAACATTCGCTTTTATAATATTAGTAAGATTGTAACGCATTTGTGAAGGGTCATGTCAGTCGGCGACATTGCGTTGTCAATATTGCACGAGTTCGTGTATCGGCTGACCTGAGTCGCTTCAGCTGTCAGTTCTGAGCGAACTTCTGCGTCACGTTCACACAAAAATAATCTAAAACAAATATAGCAAATTGCGGTTTACACTTAAGTGTTTATATAATTTGATCACGTTTTTTTCATATATAATTATATTACACTGTAATCTTTATTAGCAATATTGAGAGTTAAAGGATTGTATTTAATGGTAAAGGAAATCCTGTTCAAAAATTAACGAAAATGAACTCATAATCAACAAAGATATTTTTCGATTTTGAATAGATGACAAATGCTTGACAAAAGACCTTAAAACATTGTGTTTCAGCAAAGCTTTGTAAAAATCTTACTAATATTATAATTGAGAATGTTTGGATGGATAGATTTTTGTTAGAAGGTATCTCTAGAACGGCTCAACAGATATCGCTGAAATTTAGCATAGATGTAGAACATAGTCAGGAAGAACACATAGGCTTTTAGAGTTTTTTTTTTTTAATTTCGCGAAAACAGAGTCTCAGGCCACAGCTAGTTGAATAAAACAGTAAAATATTCTATTCATAATTATTTTTTTCCAGTAATTCGTAAAATAAGAGTGGTAGAACCCGCTTTAACATCTTTGCACGAATTGGTCAGGTTCGCCCGGTGAAATACCACCACCACAAAGAAAACAGGCGTGAAGTGGAAGCAATTCCGCGTTTCGTCTGATAAGTGTGCGTCCCGGAGGCTTAATTTAGTCGTCTTTCCCTTCCCACCCTTTTCTTATAAGGAAAAGATGGGAAGTGGAAGTGGACTTTCCGGATGAGATAAAATATTTTCTTTCTGTGCATCCTCTCCTCCGTCGATTAAAGGTAGGCAACGCATATGCAATTGCGTATGCCTATGGGCAACGGTCACTTCGCTATTTCAGCGATTTCAGGTGGCCGCTCGCTCGTTTGCCACCTTATAATATAAAAAATAATAATAATAAATCAATGCAAAACTTCGAATAAATTTTATATTGTTGATTTTATTTCATGTCCGTTGTATATATTGCATCATTTACATTAACAATTTTACTAAAGTTCACTACGTATTTGAAATCCTCAATTCCATCTAATTGGACCGTCAATCTGATCACAGATAATCATGTCTTCTTTAAATAATGTTATGCCTTTTGTAATCTGAAGTAGTATTATAAATTACAATAGTTTAAAAGACCTAGAACTCATATCTAGATTTAACAATTAAAATTTGAAATTGATGGTTTATGTATGAGATATGACTGAACAATATATCAATAGTAATTACTTGGAAGTAGAACAAATGGAGTCGTGAACTTAAAAGGAGTTGAAGATGTAAGGGTAACAAAGAACACAACAATTAAAGAATTATCATCATCAGCTCACTATATGAGGGGCTCGGAGCCTACCCTAAGGTGGGGGTGTCTATGCCATAGTCAATGATGACCCAGTGCGTGTTGACTTCATACATATCTTTGCATTTCTTCGCAGATATGTGCAGGTTATATCACAATGTTTTCCTTAACCATAAGTAAGTCGGATAAATGTACATGTGAACACATTAGTACATGGCAGGATTCGAACCCAGGACCTGCAGATTGCAAGTCAAGTAATTTAACACCTGAGCCACCGACGCTTAAAGACATGATAATTAGGAATGCAAGCAAAGAGCTTTAAAATGCATAAAAGAAACCCCGTTGTCTTTGTTTGCAACTATAGTTTACAGATGTGATTATTACTGGCAACACTGAATAAATCGAAAATAATACTAACCATAGATAAATAGAAGTCCAAAATGCTACATAAATTATATTACGTCGAGCATTCTAAACATTTTAGTATACGATCGAGCAAACTTATCCAAGTATTCAAATCGATTTTATTGTTAACAATCTATAAATCGTAAAGTACAGAGAATATCGTGATTTTATATTTTTAAATCCCTACCAGAGACATTTACAATTGGTAATCTTCGCGGTTCATCTGCTTTACGGCATGAGAAATTATTTTAAAATACCAGTTTGTTAACGTGTACATTCAACCATAGATTTATAACTCACTAGCTGTCGTCCGCGACTCCGTTCGCGAGAAATTATAATAAAAATTAGTAAATAGCCTATGTGTTCTTTCAGACTATGTTCTACATGCCTGATAAATTTCATCGAGATCCGTTGAATTGTTCTGGAGATCATCAAACAAACATCAATCAATAACCACCTAAACATTCGCATTTATAATATTAGTAAGATTTAACTATCTTTAGATATTAGACCATTGAAGATGTTCTGTATACTAAAATTGTATTTAAATCATTTTCTAATGACATCTCATTTAGATTTTGAATTTATTCTGTACACACATAAAACAAATGCCTGTCTGAAACATCAACGTACAGCTTAAACTTCTAAACGTGTAAATTGGATGTACGTTGAGATTTTCGTTATTAATTATTAATTAAAACGTCAATAGCCTAATGGTTAAGGATACGGATTTCCAATCACGAGGTCGGGGGTTCGAATCCCGCCATTCGACTATTGTCGTAAACCATATCCTAGCACAAGCCTAGAGCTTAGTTGGAAAAAGAAATATTAGTAAATTTACTAAAAATCTGCTAATATTTTCATAATATATTTATTATTTTTTTCCCAAGAGATAGAATTCACAGTGGTCATCGTTATAGGTTCGTTTTATGCACATTTTTACATCTTTGTCTACGATTCAAATGTAATACTTCTTTTCGTATAGCAGATTTCCAGTTTCAACGATATATTTGTCTTTACACTCAAACATATAGGTTAGTTTGCGTAACAAATATTCTTGTAATCTTTACGTTCTTTAGTTTTATATATCTAAGAGATTTTTAAAGCAAATACTTTTGCTCAGAAACTATAGAAAGGATATTTTTATGCTATATTATTTTTTTATATATATAATGTGCATATATATATATATATATACGCACATTTTAAAAGGATTTTTCAATTTACATTCCATTATAAAGGATTAAAGTTTTTGTATTTTCATAAAAAACTTGTCCTTTCCCAGTTTTACTTTATTTTAAATTGATATAAATAGTTCTAATAATTTATAATCTTTTCTCTATGCAGATAAAGTCGCGGACGGTTACTTGTTTATATCGGCTTCTCCTAAGTACATAAATTCATTGCAGTAATTTGCGCAAATAATAATATCCCATCTGTCACTGTCAAGCTTTAAAGTTTCTTTATAAAACTTATTTCTAAAGTCTTCATCAAATAAAAGAATAAAAACGTATGGGTCTTGTAAACAAAGAACATTTTTCTCAACCAGAATTGCCAATCAAGCTCATAGCTTATAGACATCGATGTCAGAGCCACCTAATGACGATGGGAGGAGATCGAAAATCCTAAGCAGCATATCTCGGGACCTTGATTGGCATCAGATACCGCTGGCGTGACGCCGTAGAGTTGGACCTGTGGGAGGTACAAGAGATGGACTGGCAGGAGAAAGGGAAAGACAGGCGACTTTGACGATCTCTTGTGTCAGAAGTCAAGTCCCACTTTGGGTCGCTGCACCAGCGGAGTAAGTAAGAACTGCAACAGAGTTCCTTTGTGTACATAACTCATACAACATGAACGCTAAGGGCCTTCATTAGTAATAACATAACAACTTTGATTTCGACTAATACTTCCGTATATCTGTTATGGAACCCTAAAATTATATATCAGTTCAATAAGTTTCGGCAGTTAAGGCTACAAATAAATTCTCTGTATTGAAGTTCAATGACCTTTAACTTAAATCTTCCAATAGTTTTATCGTAAGCTCTTGATGTATGTGAACCGCCCTCTCAATTGTGATCTTCAAATCTTATCAAGTATAAATCGTATCAAATATTTTAAAAGACGATAGAACCATAATACTATGAATTTGATTTGAAAACATTAACATAACGTAAACGTAATAAATGTAAAGCTATTATAATGTGCGTTTCAAAGAAAAAGTGTCAAATTGTATACGTGTCAATGACCTTGAAAATAAAAACGAAAATTTATTTCTCCGTAAATATTTTTAAACTGTTTATTTTGTTTCGATTTGAGAACAATGAGGCGACAATTTTAATTTTAAATGTAAAGTAATTTTCTTTTTTTTATAAAAATAACAATATAGTATAATTTAACAACATTTTTTTCCATATTTGCTTTTAATATTAATTGTTTTACGTATTATCTGAATACATTATAAATATACTTGTTTTTCAAACTGCATAGTTTCCTGATAAGATAAAAAAAATATTTTAAATAGTTTGTCGCCATTATCCTTTAGTATTTTTATATCCACCTTTATATCTTTTTTGCTTTTAGTACAAGATGGCGACGCTAAGACGATGAACATCGCTAAAACAATGAGGTAACCACTATCCATAGATAACAAAGAGTTAAGTAGATCCAGAAAGGTTTTTTAACTAAATAAAAGCTAAATGAATGTCAGCAATTATAATGTCTCTATTATGTTCTAGATTTTCTATTTTGGGTGTAAATATTATTTTAGTTGTAATATTCCAAGGTAGATTTTGTTATTAAAAATCATAAAAATTTTTCATCTTATTTACATCAGAACAAAGTAGTGTGATGTCTATTTTTTTATAGCCCTATGGACAAGAAGATAAAGTTTAAAATAAATATGATTAAGTTTATTTCCGATTGGTAGAACAAATTTTCTCGTTTAATTGTTTCTCGATTGTTTAATAAATGCAAATAGCAATTTAACAGTAATACTTTATTGCGTATATTGCTACTTCAGTTGATTAATCTTAGGTACTAATATTATTAGTGTGAATGTTTGGATTGATGTTTGTTAGAAAATATCTCCAGAACGGCTGCATGGATCTTTTTGGAATTTTTCACAGATGTAGAACATAGTCTGGAAGAACACATAGACTACTAATTAAGTTTTTATAATACAGTGCAGACAGAGTAGCGGGCGACAGCTAGTAGATATAATTACAATGTTAAAATGTTTTGTCAGTGTATGTACGTAGTTACATTTGTAACCGCTCCCACTAGGTCGCAGTCTTTTGTTTACTATACTGTAATTAACAGAACTCTAGCAAAGCAATAAAGCTTGAATCATCTATTGTCTGACATTTCACAATTTCTATATGTTCATCTTTAAACAATATGTTCATTCATGATATTTCGATGTCAAGAATTTGGGTGCATTTACTCGTTTGTTATGAAACCGCAAATAACAAACGATAACAAACTATGATTTTAAAAAGCTAAACTATCCTACTACTAGCTTACCAGAATATATAACCAGGTATCTGAATTCACTTCCTTTTTTAAACAAGCAACCGGCCACCTAAATTCGTCGAAAGAAGCGGACGCACAGACACAGGATAAGAGTTTTCTGTGCGTCACCTCACCCTTCATATACCTTCCCATCGTTCCCTTAGTAGAAAAGGGTAGGACGACATTAACTAGGCTTTATGTACGTACACTCATCACAATAAACGGGGAATTGCTTCCACATCACACCTGTCTTCTGTGTAGTCGTGGTATGGCACCGGTCGAGCCGGCCCCTTCGTGGAATTGGTGTTATAGTTTCGAACGTCTACCACTGTTAGACACATCTTCTTTCACACAATCTATCCACATATTCTGTTCTTCTTCTCACCTTCTCTTCTTTTTACCGTCTCTCATATAAACATTTCTAAAGACTCCAGGACAGGTTTGTGTAATATGTTTGCGTTTGTATCATCGGAATGTACCAAATTATAGTTAATTCAAAAATTATATATGATAGATTGCGTGTGAAATATGAAATGGTCAAATTACTAACATAAGTATGGATAACAAAAAAGAACTAGCCACTTATATTGTCAATTTATTTTGTAATTATAGTATTGGTCAATGCGATGAACAGTTAGAAAAAACTTATTACAAGTCTTATAAGATTATTGTAATTGAGTAAATATTTACTGCGAATACGTGAGAATAGATTAATTAGAATTAGAAGAATAAATTAAAGAACTAAAATCCTTACGACTGCTTTATACCATAAAATAGCTATAACTTTTGATTCCTTAAGAAACATTTTTTTTTATAATAAAAGGAGGCAAAAGAGCAGCCGAAACACCGGGATGTTGATCGTCGCCATGGACATTTGCAATGTCACAGGAATCGCAGATGCGTTGCCGACCTTAGAAAAGACATTCGTTTCTCGAAAGATCCTAAGTGAAAGCAGTTTTTTAAACTTCACGTAGAAACTTTGAAATAGTCAATATGTAACTAACACTAGCTGTCGCTGACGACCGCGCGGAGTTGAAAAAATACTGAATTATTCGCTTGTGTGTTCTTCTAGATTATATTCCACATCTATGCCAAATCACAGGAAAATTCATTCCAATAAACATCCATTCATCTATCCAAACATTCGCGTTTATATTACTAAGTTTTAAATAATAAACACGAGGTAAATCAAAGGTAAAATATAATAGTTACAATATTGTCTGAATACTAACTCAACTGATTTTATTATAACTATAAAACTTTTATATTCTGTACTAAAGAATTTCTTTACCGACTTAATAATTCGACCTTAACATACATAAAGATTCCATCGGTCTCGACTATTCTTCAATCATAGAGTCATTACCAAAATTGTTGATAATAAACGGTCGAGCAAACCATAACGGTTAATTCAACGACCAATATCATAGTAATGATCGCTATTGAGTTAATCTTTTAAAGTAATATAGTTTCTAAATTAAATGTAATACAAACTGTTGCTTGCGACTCCGTCCGTGCGGAATTAAAGAAATAATTAGTATCCTATGTTTTCTGCCAGGCTATGTTCTACATCTGTGCCAAATTTGAGCAAGATACATGAAGCCATTCTGGAGTTCTAACAAACATCCATCCATACAAATATTCGCATTTATATTAGTAAGATTAGAGTTAAGATTTTTAATTTATGTGTAATTAAAGTGTACAATAATATTGTTGAAAAAAATAAAACATTTTCATTTTTAAAATAATTTAATAGAATCATAAAATAATATTTTACAATGTTAAAATAGTTATCACTTTCTTATATTACTAAGTAAAAATACTTTTTGCTATTTCTACAAAATAGATTCGTTTCAATAATAGTAACCAGAAGCTTCGTCGAAGCTAGGTGGTCTTCGTGGACCACCAAATATTCCTTCTACTCCTTCTGGTTGACTAGTTGTCTGTAAGGTCTGTGGTCTAAACCCAATTGACGGAGTATTAAAAGAATTTTCACTAACTCCCGACTTTTGGTTATCTTGATGGCCAAACTGTGCTGAAATTCCAAAGTTATTAGTCTTATCTTGTGATTGAATTGGCTTACGGTAATCTTTGACATTTTGCCCGGTACTTGGTCCTTGACAACAAGGTCTAATCCTTGTTGAGAAATCAAAAGGCCTTTTATATTCAGTTGGTTGATTTTCTGCGGATGCGCCTGATGTAAATTTTGTAGTTTCTAATTTTGGTTTAACATCGGTTGTTTGTAAATTACTTGAAGGGATTGTTTGCTGTCTGTTGAAGTCTTGAGTTGAATCAGAGGTTGAAATACGATTTTGTGTGTATTTGTTTTGATCGAATTGTCCTTGTAAATTTGTAGGTTGTTGAGGTCCTGTTCCACCACGATTGCTGTTAATTTGAATTTCTTGTCCCTTCTGTTGTGATTGAATTGATGGTCGTAATTTTTGACCGAATTGTGAAAAATTATCTGTAAGTGTCGATGTATCTTCATTAGATTCTGTCGTAGATAAAGATTGTGCAGGTTTACTATATTCATATATTTCACCATTGTATTGCTGGCTTGAAGATAATTGAGGAGTATTGTTATTAAGCTCTGTTTGAACTTGATTTGGTGTTTGTTGAACTCCTTGACTACCACTAAGAGTTGCCTGATCTCTATTAAATGATTGAGTTGAAGTTGTTTGTTTTTGGAACGATGAATTAATTTGGAAATTTTGAGACAAATCTTGACCTATTTTTTCAGATTTTTGATTCTCTGAAGGACTTGTATATTTGTTAGAGTTTGATGGAAAGGGTGATACAGAAGCTTGAGTTATTCCCGTGTATTGTTCCGGAAATCCGTCAATCTTAGTTGGACTGGTTGGTGACGGTAAAATTTGGGTTACTACTGTAGATTGGGGGTATTTTGTTGAAGGCCTAAATCTATCGTTAAACGAAGCAGAGGGAGAAGATTGGGGAGTATTAGAATATTGATTATACATTGAACTAGCAATGGTAGGTACTACAGTGGGTGGCCTAGGATATCTAGTTGCCGCACCGTTGTTGAAACCGCTGTTAAAAGGACGATTTCCAGTTTGAAACGTTGGTGTGGTTACTCTGTTAACGTTGAATGGTTTTGAAGGTAGATTATAATAATAGGAATGATCTGGACCTTGGAATTGTGGGCTACCACTCAAATTAATGTTTGTATTTGTCAGCTGTTCTAATGGCTGCTGCGATAAAATATTAGTCTGTTGGATTTCATTTTGGTTAAGGTTTTGATTTGATGTTCCAAAACCAATTTGGGGAGTACTTGATTGTGAGATTGAAGCAGTAACATCCGAGAAAGATGCTTGAGTTGGAGTTAATGGCACATTAGTGTTGCCGAATTTATTAGTTGATGTTGGAGAATCTTCAAAAGGTGTGGTTAACTCTGCACTTGGTTGTAAGGTTGACGGTATATTATTAAAGGTGTTATACGAGGCTTGTATTCCTGATTGAGTATTTTCATTTTTATTCAGGTCTGAAAATTGACCATTTATAAATTGATTCGAAGACTGACTATTAAAGTTTTGGCTAAATTGGTCGAACTGATTGCTGGGAATAGACTGAGGACGTATTTGTGCTGTAACTAGGGGTTTGTTGACATTACTATTTGAGACTTGAGATCCAAAGGTGGAGCTTTCTGATATGCTTTGTCCTGTATTCTGTGAACTATATGAATTAATAGAAATAGATGGTCGATTATTAGAATGAAGATTATTAGCAGGAGGTAAATATGATTGCTTAATTCCAAATTTGTTATTTGATCCCAGATTCAATTGAGGTGTTCCAAAATATATGGGCCTTGAATAATCGTCATTATCAGATACTGTGTCTTCTTGATTTGAATCTTTCTTATTCGATTCAGATGTTCCAAAATTACTAGATGCATCACCATTCTTACTTTGTTCAAATGGTGCACCTGATAAAGGCTGCTTTCCTAACGCGGTGGCGAAAGTCGGTTTGGGTTGTAAGTTATTCTGGACAGATTCAAATACATTATTCCTGATGTCTTCGTTTGTTGTTTGAGGTTGTTGAGGGGTATTCAAATTGTCGAATACACGAGTATTTTGATTGATGAATGTTCCGCTTACATGTGCATCTGATTCAGGCACTCCAAACTGTCCATTATATTGCTGCCCCGCATTGTCACTCTCACTTTTTGTGCGATCGTCTTCTGTATTGTACTTCTCGGCGTCGTAAGAGCCTGTAAATGAAAAGGAAAGTTGTCATTTGTCAAAGCTTTTAACTGAATAACAGGCGATAAATCATTTATCAAGTGATACAATGAGTTTAGCATATTATGTGTGTTTGATTTTTGCATAAATCAATTTTGATTTTTGAAACGAATTTCTTTGTTTTTATTAATTACTATGTTTGCATGTACATACATCTACAAGTTCTGCGGACTTCAGCTAGTATTAATTGTCGGTTGTCGACTCATTGATTTACGACATACATGACATAAGATCTTGTTTAAAATCCAAATTAATATTTAACGCCGTTGTAATATACCATACTAAAGTTTGACCTATTCACTATTTACGAGGACCATGTGCAAGCATGTGAGCAAGATGATAATTCATATTTATTACAATGTGATAAATTATAGTTGAATTGTAAAGTTTGATAATTATAATTACTACCTTTAAGGCGAATATTTTTTTTTCCTTTTTTCAAATCATTAAAAATTTCTTTAGTAGTTCCGAATACTTGTTAAATACACCACTGTTACAGTAACTTAGATATGAAGTTGTAAATTTGCGCAGAGTTAGATTATCTTAAAGCTTTGGTTTCCTCCTACTCACAATAATATACATATAGTACTTACTTAAAATGTTATATTTGGAATACATGCATCTCTAAGCCATTAAAAAATAGCCCCTTTTTAAGAGGGGGAATGCGTTACGCATACCGGGTGCCTCGGGGAAAGCCACTCCGGTTATGTGGGACTCTCTTCACATCCCTAATGGGACAAGGAGCCTATCCACTTAACCCCCTCTGGTTCCCTCGACTCACTGTTTACCGGGGTGTGGGCACATGTGAATACTCTTCGCACACACTGGTCGGTGACTGGTTTAGAGCCTCCACATTATGATAGACTCTTTGCACGTTTAAAAAAATAGCCTAATGATGGTTGGTGTGAGACATTTCAATTTATTTTCTCTTTGAAATCAAAATCCCTGTGGGCTTTAATCGTTTAATTCATCAAAGCTTTCTTTAGCTTCAAGAATAAAATGTCAAGGTCAAACTAAAAAGAATATAGCAAAACTATACTACGAATACTCTATATTGATTTTATTTTGTAAGGTATACGAGTTCCCGGATGCAGAAAAAATATTAAGTAGGTTTTACTGCTTTTGTATCTTTGGCTAAAGATTTTTATTACTCTTTTCTTATGAGTCACGTATAAGCTAAGATCGAATCGAATGTATTCATAGTTTTTATTCTTCTAAATATGGAAAAAATCTTATTTATTTAAGGTAAATAGTAAGTCGATCTGATGCTGGTTGTACCCGCGGATTTTCCCATTCCTAAGAGCAAAGCGTAATGTTAAACTTTGGTTTTTATTATTGCAGCAAACAGTTATAAAAGTTTGCAAATCTCGTGAACATGTACGCAATTAATACTATTAAATATTGAAGAAATAGTTTAATAGTTTATTTTATTGAAACATCTATGCATTTCTTAAAAGTAATCAATATCTCTAGTTTAATTTTAATAATTGAATTCAAAAATGGACAATTAAGTAATATAACAAGAAGCATTTTTTAACGATATAATAAAATGTTACTACGAACATCAAGCAATAACCGAACGATAAATATTGACTCAACAGCATTAATTTTAACCAAAGTATACGAGAAATTCTATTTACCCTTAGCTACTGTAACTGTTTTTTTTACATTAAATATGCCATACATAGCTTTTCATGTGTAAATAAAAATAAAAATTACTTGATGTATGATGTAGAATTAAGGAAGCACTCACCATCATCTACAATTCCTCCAGCAGCCTCTTTAGCATTCTGCTCCAAAGACTTCAGAATCTCTTCAGGTATAGGAGGAGGTGTCGGCAGATGATCTCCACTAGGTTGATATCCACCTTCTCCAGCGGTGTACGTTACTTTGTACACTTTACCGTCATCTCCTGTGTAAGAGTAACCTCCTTCGGCTTGTATACCATTTACAGCAACACCGTTCTCTTCAGCTGTTATGCCGTTATCAGTTTCAAAGGCATAGTTATAAGCTTGTGGACTAACGTTATTTTCAAAACGAACTATATTCGATGCTTTGTCAAATTCAGCCTGTGGTCGTGCAGTATTAAAACCGAAATTAACTCCTTGTTGGAAATTCTGCAGAGTTTGTGATTCAATTTGATCAGTACTTTGGAAATTATTTTGGGGATTAGGAATGTTGAATCCTTGTTGGTTAGTCTTGAAAGCTGCACCTCCAACTTTAGAGTGAGTTGATCCGTATGAAACTCTATCAGCTCCTAGACCTGTTTCACCAGGACTTGAGGCTCTGGTGCCTGGAGCCGCAGCTTCTACGACTACGCCATCAAAATCATTGTCGAAAGCGCCTTTCGGTAAACCAGTTTGTCCAGGGTTGAAGAGATCTCTCACAAGAGGGGTTTGTATGTCCCCAGGGCTGCCACCAGCAGTTTTAGCAGATTCTGGTGGAAGATATGACCGGTCCAATTTTGCAGCACTGCATACCGCGAATAAAGCGGCTAATAACACCTGGAAATGAATATAAGAAGATGTTGATTATTCTTAATTAAAAAAGTAAAATATTACATTAGAAAAAAAATGTTGGTTTATTAAATTGTTCTCATATTTTTTGAATATTGATTTTTTCTTATGATATAACAGTTCGACTAATTTAAAACTGAAATTAGAAGTTAATTTCTGTTTCAAATTCTAAGAAAACCATTAGATCGTATTACATAACTCTTCCCAAAGACAAGTGATAGTCAAGATTAATCACTATTTCCGCTTTAAGATGAATAGAGTTACCAAATTCATTGTGTCCGTGTAGACCACTTGCCCGGATGGTGCTACAATGTGGGGTCAACCCGTACTGTGCTTTTGTGAACCAACTTTTGCTTTTTATACCAACTCTAAAGTCGTCTAAAAAACGTGCTCAGCTTTTTTCGCAAACTTTTCACTGCGGTCGTGTAACTTTTTAACACAATACCGGTATCTTTCCGGCCAATGCTTAAGATAAACTTTAGGTCATTCGTTAGTTTTGCTGAATGCAAAGTTAACTTTGTCGAGATGAACGCATGGATTCCAAGTTCAAGTAGCAACGAATATGCGATATATAAATGTTTTAATTGGAAAAGAATTAGTAACTGTAATCAGCTTAGATAATCGTGAGGTTAAAATGTAAACTGTAGAAATCAATTTATAAAAAAAACGGTATACATTAAACTATTGAATTCCTTTTTGTTTTTTTCTGTGATTATGTATGCTATTGTCTATTAATTAAGTTTTTTTTCTGACTTCTTTATATAATCTCAGTATTTAAGACGCTTCTAATTATAAAATAATTATCAAAGTCTGGTTGAGGTTTGAAATCATACAATGCATATGCTGTCGCCCGCGACTCGTCCGCGCAGAAATAACAATAAATGAGATAAAAACTACCCTATCTCCCAAGTTGGACCAAATTACAGATGCTTACAGATTTTAATAAGAATTGGTGCAGTAGTTTCAGACTTTATCGCGAACATACATCGTGACACGAAATTTTTATGTACACATCTTGCGAATAAATGCGAATGTTTAGATGGATAGATTTTTGAAGTTATCTCCAGAACGGCTGCATGAATCTTGCTGAAATTTGGATGTAGAACCTAATCTGGAAGAACACAGAGGCCACAAATTTAGTTTTATTTTAATTCCGTACAGACAGAGTCGCGGGCAACAGCTAGTGACATAAAGAACAAAATATATAAGCAATACTTAGTTATTGTATAGTTTGACATCTATTCCGATTTGATGATTCAATTGTTGCGTATATCGTCGCAACTCATTTGAATTTTCTGTTAATAATTAAACCGTATTCCGTCATAAATAAACAAAGGTTTGTAGATCATATATTAATAATTATAATGCTCTATACATTTATGTTAATAAAGGTTCTTTCAAATCTGCATCATAGTAATAAACGTCAACTTTGATTAATTGAATTATAGCTGTCAGATCAACTTTTTTTAACATAAGGGGGCAAACGAGCAGCTGGCACACCGAGGTGTTCAACGACGCCTATGGACATCAGCAATACCAGAGGAACCGCAGATGCTTCTTGTCTTATAAAAGGGCTTAACCTATTATCAAACTGATTGAATTTCTACTGCTGCGTCATAATCATCAGCTCACTAAACGTCCCCACTGAGGAGCTCGGTGCCTACTCTAAGTCAGTGACTAGGCCATAGCCAATGCTGGCTCAGTGCGGGTTGACTTCACGCATATCTTTGAATCTCTTTGCAAATATAGTACTTGGCGGGGCGGTTAACAATATTTTTTTCGTAGTTAAAAAATCACAGTAGAAAGACTTGCAGTCACAGTAATAAGAGTTTATGTCTGCTTTAGTATTTTTTTTTCGTTTGCCTTCTTGTTTAACGTGTAGAACTTACATGCAATTCGTGACAATTTGGTACTTACTAAGTCTAAATGTAGAGCTTACTTGTATTCATTAGCATAAAACATAAAATAGTGGGTTCTACCTTTAGCGTGCGTAATATCAATCTAGTCTAGAACGACAAAACAAAAGACTTTAGATTATTTTTTTTCATTTAGCTGACACAGTCTTAGGAAAGATGATACATATTTAACCAAAAAGTATGCACGAATTTTGGATTAAAAAAAAACCTTACTCTATCTATCCTCTGCTTTTCTATTTGAATTATGTTTATAAGTTATTTCTTTATTAGCTCATTCGTTTAATTAAAAAATATATACATTTTTATCCAATACATCTTACTACTCGTAATATTATAAATACGAATGTTTAGATGGATGGATGTTTGTTAGAAGACATCACAAGAACGCCTCCATGGATCTTGACGAAATCTGGAAGAACACATACCAATCATGTCTCTTTAATTCCAAGCAGACAGAGTCACGGGCGATAGCTAGTTAATTCATAAACAATGATATATTTACGGAAACTGAACATTCTTTAAAAGTGTTCATGTAATGAAATTTTAATGAAGTCATTTATCTCTATAAGTATGAAGGCTTCTTAAGTGAAATAAGTCTTAAGCTCAGTCGTGGCAGCGTGCATTTATTTACAAATAATCCGTCCCTTTTACTGACGGCTATTGCGTCAGACAGTTAACATCTGGTTTTCAGTTAACTGCTCTTTGCGTCAATCATAGAATCTGTAGTTAAATTTCCATGTAAATAAGACGAACAAAGGATTTTAGCGTATGTGATTTCAACCTAACGATGAACAGTAAAAATACTATAATAATATTATTTGTTTGTTCCTACGTATCTCAAAATTGGCATAGATATAAAACATAGTCTGGAAGAACATATAGGCTACAAACTAAGTATTTTGTCTTAATTCCGTGCAGACGAAGTCGTGAGCAAAAGCTAGTTATCAAAAAAGGATAAATATGTATAATCTTTAGATTACAGTTACAATATAATTCAACAGTTTCTGAGGGGACAATACAGAAAAACGTATAAAACTACGATAAATTTTGAGGTTACGTATTGAACGGCACCATAACTCAAGAAATCTAAAAAAACGTTTTTTTTTCTTCGTTCATATTTTATATACGTCACCATTCTGTGCGATTAAAAATATTAACACCCTATAGTATTTGGTTATTTACGTAGAACTTAATTGACGGAGTTAATTTATTTGAAAATGTTAAGATAATTACACTTCATCGCAATCAATACGCGTACTCTTTATAAATTTATACCAAGGCATTGTCCTATACGCAATGCAGATTAATATTTTATCTTATTGTTTTTTAGCGTTAAACGGATTTCCTCGACTTGTTACCCTTGAGTTATGTTCCATTTCTTTTATAGTTTTTTTTTATAACATAAGGTGGCAAACTAGCGAGCTGCCACCTGAAATCGCTGAAATAGCGAAGTGACCGTTGCCCATAGACATACGCAATTGCATATGCGTTGCCTTCCTTTAATCGACGGAGGAGAGGATGCACAGAAAGAACATATTTTCCCTTCCCATGCATCCTCTCATCCGTAAAGTCCACTTACACTTCCCGTCCTTTCCTTATAAGAAAAAGGGTGGGAAGGGAAAGAGGACTAAATTAGGCCTCCGGGACACACATCAGACGAAACGCGGAATTGCTTCCACTTCACGCCTATCTTCTGTATTATGATGTGTCATTTCATTTGATGAGAGAATAAATATATTATAAAGATGTAGTCATTCTAACATGTCATCGTACTTGTACTAAATAATGGCTTCAAAATGCTAAGTGAATTAAAATTAATATTCGAACATGATTCAGTACTGCCGCGTGCATCTCGTTTATAACACGGCTGCATACATTTCAACATCGCCATGACTCAACTGTCAGGTCAAATGGCTGGCTAACTTAATTCGCAAGAATATATCCATTAATAATTTTAACACAGTTATTATAAATGTACGTGGTATTTATATTGAATTAAAACAATGCATCATACTTCCAAACATCTGTACATCCATCCGAAGATTCATCATCAGCTCACTTACGTCCCCACCGAGGGGCTCGGAGCCTACTCCAAATTAAAGGTGACTAGGCCATAGTCAACCACGCTGGCTCATTGCGGGTTGATAGACTTCACACATATCTTTGAATTTCTTCTCAGATATGTGCAGGTTGCATCACGATGAATTTCTTGTTAATCGGAAATCGAAAAACACATTGGTACATGGCGGTTTCGAACGTAGGACATGCAGATTCCAAGTCAAGTGCTTGATCTCTGAGCCAACGAAGCTCTCGCTCTCCGAAGATTTGCATTTATAATATTAATAAGAATAGTTTAAATGTCAAAATTTTAATTAATAACCTAACATTAACCGTAGTCCATTACTACAGTTCATTGTTACTGTTAAAGATAACAAGTTATATTCATTAAGTAAAAACATTTGTTATATTTTGAAACTCATAGTTAATTGCTAAAGATACTAAATATTAATTTTACAACAATGTTTGTGTAATTGAAAACTAAATATGGAAGAATATATTTAGACGGGTTTTAAGGTTGCATTTTAATTAACACACCCATAATAACATCGACCTATGTTTCATACTTGCACTGTTTTATTTGAATATTAATATTTATTCTGAACACAGTTATTGAAGAATTATTCAATAAGGTTAGTTATGACTTTTTACTAAAAAAAAATTGATTTGGGTGAATGGATTGATGTTTGTTAGATATCTTCAAAACGGCTGCATGGATCTCGCTGAAATTTGACATAGATGTAGAAAATAGAATAGTCGGCAACACATAATCTACTAATTATGTTTTTTTTTGTAATTCTTTGCGACTGGAGTCGCTGGCGACAGCTAGTATGTGTTAAATGACAAGAACGACTCAATTAAAATTGAATCTTACGGACATAGTCACGGCTTACGAGAACGTAATTTTTTTAACCTTTTGCTTAACTAAAAGTAGTCTTTAAGGATGAATTAACAAGTTTAAGATCCTTTTAGTGTTGTCATGACCGGAATACGGACATTTAAAGGTCCGTAAATGTAACTCAAAAACATGACAATATTAAAACTATATTGCTAAATTGCTGTCGCGTACTTTTCCGTCAGCACGGAATTAAAAAAGATAAAATTATTAGCTTATGTGTTCCTTCTGACTATGTTCAATATCTATGACAAATTTCAAATAGATCCCTGCAGTTGTTATGGAGATACCTTCAAACATCCATCCATCTATCCAAACAAGGATAGATGTTATTTAATTTTTACGTTTTGCCGCGATATAAACTCTCCTTTTTTTAAATATTTAACACTTTATATTTTTTAATCCAAAGCCAAATTATTATATCCATAGACTAGCTGTATATTTTAAAT